GTCAATTGTTCCAAGTCCAGTAATATCTGCCTGATTTGCTCGCATTCTAGTAACTCTATTAAAGGGACTGCATATCTCTGTTAAAGTTCATTCAAATACTCGACCACCCGACAGCTCGCACTAGAAATGAGAACCGGCTGGCCGTATGGGTGATTTTGGAAGTTTTTTGAACGGTTTCGCTAAAAGCCCACGATTGATCGTCCTGAACACTGACTGAGTGCAATTTGTCTTGAAAAATTGTGAAATACCGCATTTTGTACGAGGTCTGTATGATAAATAGTACTGTTTCACCTCAGGTGTGATGTATAAAAAGTATAAAAGGTCGGTTTACACAAGTAAACCTGTCGAACGCAAAAAAATACAGCCTGATTTGTTTTCCAAGAATTTCTTTTCGAGGCCTAATCTACTGTGATCAAGATCCATTATGGCTCTTGAATGTGATCGAAAGTGTTTGCTATATTTTTGAGTGTACATATATAAGGCTATCAACTCGATGTAAGATAAGTCACATAAATGTACCCTTAAGTTAACTCAGTTGTGGATTATAAGTTTATCGTTTGATTTAAATTATAAATTTATTAGTGGGAGCTTCGCTTTTAGCCCCGGCTAAATCTATATATTAACTTAAGTCAACAGACTCTAGTTTAGTTTACGGAACTTGCTCTCTTGGTGAGCTTTTGTTAACAGCTATTCCTAAGCAGCTGACGGAGGATCCAATTTGGTTCCGAAACCGGTCTTGCTGTCATAGCTGAGTGAAGCATACGTTCTCCTTAGAACTTAAAGGGACACAATCAGCTGATGCACATGTGCATGAGATACCATTTGTTAGCTGATTTGCATGTCACAAGACTCGCGCGTGAAACAGAAAGTGAGAAGCGTATCCGGAATCGTCAAAACAAACCTTGTAGAGTTGAACTAGTTACAAGCCCAAATCGTGATTATAGACCCTAAACCACATCAGAGCACACATTTCTTATATAACGTTGAGAATTTACCGATGGATTTGTCCAGGAAAAGTCAAACATCGACGAATACTTCTGAATTTGATCATCAGTAGAGGTGAGAAATGACACGGAGTCGGGATGAATCATTGTCGAAGGTTCAAGGTCGAGAAAGCTTGATTTTCCAAACATATGTAGCCTTTTCCATCGATTTCCCAAATACATGAAACTATTATTTGCTCGCCAATGTTATTGATTCATTTCTTTTGTTATTTTGGTAAACGAAAGCGATTTCCCCAGCCCGGCGCCTACGCGTTTCTCACCTCCTGACTTCTTGTTCCTTTGGATACTGTTTTTAACCAAATATGATAAAGTAATGTCACAGGATGAGTTAAAGTTTGCTCTAAAAGAGGTTTTCTGTAAAAGATCGAGGATCAAATGAAACACTAGGCAAGATTGAAGCGGATTTCTAGATATAGCCAAAGCGTTCATTTGATTTCGGGTTGAGGTAAACTCTTTTCAAACTGACAAAAGTAGTGTCCAGGTCAGCGCTGTCCCATAGCTGACTGTGTCCCTTTAACCATGGCACACCTAAAATCTAGTACCAAGGATCAGTGCCACTTTGCCTACACCACGGATTTAAGCTGCGTTCGGCCGGACTGAAAACTATGTGTCCTCTTGACTCAAACAGCTAACGATTGCAACTTAAAGAGAAATAGAGTTTTCTACTGGACCTTGTAGTCTTCGTTGGATATATTCCTTCTAAGGAGCGAATGTCGATCTAAATCTTGCGAACGTAGAAGTTGACTTGTGACTCGTAGACTTTTTAGACTTTTTTATACCAGTTTCTTCTGTTTTGGCACGGTACAGTGTTAAGTTTTTGTCACCATGTACCAGCGAAGAGATTTGAAAAGACAGTATTAAAAAATTAAGTGGTTTAAGAATTTAAGAATTTGCTTTTATGATATCATGCATATATGGAAGCACGTGAATGAAAATATAAAGACTAGAGCCAATTTTGATTACGGCGTTATGCAAAAACGGAAAGCCCATCCCGCACTGCGTGCAGAGCCTCCTTTTTTCTTCTTCTTGATCGAGAAGGAGCTAGGAATTAAAATAGGATCTACTTGAATCGCGTCAATCCTTAGAACCGTCTGCATCGCAGGAATCAATCCTGTTTTCTTTCGTCAAACTGGTTTTTCCATTGCATAACTGGATCCGCTGTGGCATTAGGAACACGTCTATTAGACCTGCTTTCGAAAGTGTTTCCTAGCAACATAAACCAGGTGATTTGGGAGTCATTCATTAGCCAATCAGCTTTGAGTATAATTTTATTTTAAAGCCGCACACAGATCTTTGCGCGCCTAGAGCTTGTTCGTACGAACCCAGGCACGAACCTGCAGTATTGTTGCGTAGTGGAAAATGGTACCGTTGTTTACCTTCGGAGGCTTTCCCAGAGAAAGATTTGGCAGAGAGCGAAGTTAAGATTGACAACTGAGTCTTTTAATAACTGTTGACTTGTTAAAACGAAGAGCTAGAGAAGGAGTGGATCTTATGGTAATCAATCTTACGACAGACGAGTGAGAGTTTTAATTGATCGACTTCTGTACTCTATTGCGCAAGAGCTGGTAAAATTTCCTTTCTATTTCTGCATATATTTTAGTAACAAACTCGGCTTTGTTTGACAAAAAGGGAGTGAAGTCAATTGAAAAAGCCCGCCAAAAATGTACCACCCGCAACAAAGTGGATGAGCGGAGCGAGCGTTTGATCGAACTCAACTTTCCTCGTGCTCGCTAACACAATCAGAATATTTAAAAAAAATCTGACGAAACAGCGATACACAAGAAACAACGATAAACACGATATCTTTTATACTACCTAAACATACAATAAATACCGTTAATAGAACATAACAGTACAAAACAAGGTGAGAAATTTTCTTCATGCTTACAAGTTGGAATCCATGATTCGAAATTGCACTTTTCACACATCGCTTTCTTTTGAGTTTAAAACCAACCTGCTGCCCCACGAGACTTTTCATCCATTCATATACTTCCTATATTTCTGGTACCATTTAGAGTTCTACACGCGGTATAAGGTTGGAAAGAACCCAAAATTCATCGATGAACGGTACTCGCACTACATTTGACCGACATGGTGGACAAAAACAAAACTTGCGAATGCGCGCGCGCTGTTTCATGGGATACGGCATTAAAATTTTCTCTCCAGTCCTCCGCAATGACGTCACCAGATCGCCTGGAACCGCATGCTCATCAAAAATCTTACTCGATTCTGCATAGTCTTCTTAAATACGCCAAAATTGAGCAAGCAAATAAAAGAAAGATTCTTCTGGTTGGGTTGCGAAAGAATCTTTTAGCCTGTCGTTCTGAAAAAACATGAGGATATATGCATGGCGTTCTTCGGTTACGGGGAAAGGCACTTGCACCCTGATCAACCAACACGCTACTGTCGAGCGTTTCTATTTTTCTCTCGGCTTTAAAATAGTGATGTAAACACAAGGGTAAGTTTAAGTGCTTGCATATAAAGTGCGCGTATTCTAAGCATGCTGTTGATTCTAGAACAGCAACCGACAGCTACTCAAGCTTTTATATACTTGCATTGGAACGAAGACTTGGGCTAAACGTGAGTAAACGGGATGAAACGTGGATAAATTGGGGTGAACATGGGTAAACAGGGTTAAACGGGTATAAGCTGGAGTAAACATCGGTAAACGGGGTAAAACGTGGATAAAAAGGAGTAAACATGGGTAAACAATCAGTAAGAACGTGGATGAACTGGGGTCAACATACTAGGTAAACAAATTAAAACGTGAGTAAACTGGGGTAAACAAAGAACGGTGCGAAACGTGAATGACTCGGGGAAAACATGAGAATAAACGGGGTAAAACATGCGTAAGCCGGATAAAAGTGGACACTGGTGGATAACCTGGGGTAAAGTATGGGTGAACGGGGTGAAATGTGGATAAACTAGAGTAGACATGGGCAAACGGGAAGACCGTGGATAACTCGGGGTAAACATGGGTATAAAAGGAGTAAAATTTGCGTGAACGGGATAAAAGTGGATAAACGGAGGTAAAACGGTAAAATTAAACATGGGTAAACGAGCTAAGCGTAGCGTAGATAAACTGGCATAAACTTGGCTAAACACTGGGTGAAACGCGGATAAACTGGCGTAAACAAGGGTAACGGGGTGAAATACGGGTAAACTAGGGTAGACATGGGCAAACAGGAAAACTTTGAATAAACTTGGGTGAAGATGGAAAACGGGGTAAAATGCAGATTAACTCGAATAACATGGTAAACGGGGTAAAACGTGGATAAACTGACGTGTGAAAATTCCCAGGTTACCTAATTTTAATATGCTCTTTCAGCACGCACGCGAACTGGGCCCAGCTGTTTGAACGCAGGTTAGTGCTAGCCCGGGGTTAAATTTGAACCTGGCTTTTTCTTTCTTTTTATTTTTATCAAATGCACTCTCTCGGATAAGTTTTTTTTAAAAAAAAGAATAGGGATTAAAACCTCTATTCTTTTTAGGGTATCCCATCATCAAATTGTAGGCAAAGAGCATTAAACTGAGTTACCTTAACCAGATTCGAATAACCCAGCCCTGTTTTCGTGTTTACCGTTCCCATCATGCCCTTCTCGCGCTCACTTGTCTCCAGCTCTCGCGTGCTGTTTCTCGTTTCTCCTCACTGAGCCTTGGGAAAGCCCGTGGAGGAGGTAGTAATCCTTGAACAATTAAGGAAAATACCTACCCAGCTGAGTTTCTGGAGTTGCTGTTGGTGTCACTGGAGCTTTTGATGTTGTTGTATCTGTTGAAAAAATTCTGAAACTGTTGTTCTAACCGTTACGTGATAATGTGACAAACACTAATAGCTTTTAGTTGTTTTTAAGTGTTAAATTATTCTTTTACGATGTTCCCATCATCCTCCTCTCGCGCTCACTTGTTTCCAGCTCTCGCGTGTTGTTTCTCGCTGCTCCCCACTGGGCCTTGGGAAAGCCCGTGGAAGGGGTAGTAATCCTTGAACACGGAAAATACCTACCTAGATGAGTTTCTGGAGTCACTGATGGTGTAACTGGAGCTTTTGATGTTGTTCCATCTGTTGAAAAATATTTGACACTGTTGTTCAAACCGTTACATGATAATATTACAAACAACAATAGATTTTAGTTGCTTTTAACTGTTAAATGACTTTTTACGATGTGTCAGAAGAGGCGCACGGCTTTTAAAACTTCTTTTAATTGGTCATTGCCGAGTTACCCCTAGCCTCTGTTTTAAAAAGTGTCTGAGCGAGAAAGCCTGGTTATGATTTTGATCTTCTTCTCATGAAAATGAAACTTATTTGCATAGGAAAGGTTTTACGACTGGCTTTGAGCATGTGCGTACTGTGTGCAGCTCCTTTAATGTGCTCTCAGTCGCATGTTTTTATCATTATCATTATTTTCAGTTTTAAACAGCTTGTCTTAACTTTTTCTATTATCTAACCTCAGAGTATAATACCATCAACTGACGTGATACAACTCACTTTGACTCTGAAGATGACTACTGCACAGGTTGTCGAAACGTCAGTCACTGTCAACAATAACAGTCCTATTCAGGACTACGTTCACCCCGACGATCAAACTCAACCTACATTTGAAATGACTCCTGGGTTCAAACCTTTCACAATAATAACAATAATGATGATGATGATGATGATGATGATGATGATGTTGATAATGATGATGATGACAATGAAAAATGATAGTGATATTGATAATAATAATGATAACCATAACCATGACAACGAAAAATAGAAATAACAATGACAATGATATTGATAAAGAGAAAAGATCTCAGCTAAAACTAGCACCGAGTCAGGCAGCCTGTTTGACGCCGATGGTCCTGCTGAAAAAGTAGTGGTTCTTGTAGCTGGCGACGTCGATGCTTTTAAGGGAGAAGATGTGAAGAGTATAAAATAAAGTCAACTAAAATTTTAATGCTTGCATGACTTGCCTTCACATTGTGTTTCGTCGTTAGTAAAACCAACTTTGCAATTGCACAAAAAAGGTCCAGGAATATTTTCACAAATCGACGTATCCGGCCGGCAGTTGTGTAATCCGTCCTGAGCACATTCGTTGATGTCTACACACGGGATTAGGCGGGAAATAAAAAGCAAAAAAATTATATTAAACTTTTAGCAACTGAGGACCATTTCAAATACACTCTTTTCTAAGCATTCCAATATATTCAATCCTAAGGATTAATCAAAGAACTTGAAAAAGAAAATTTGTTGCTGTGATAGAGACATCATCATCTTCATTATAAACTCATCGTTCTGATAATTAGGATCGAATAAGCAAAAAAGTTCCTGGTAAAAGAAGCAAGAAAGTAACGGGATTTCGATTGTGAAGCGCATGCGACACTTACATACAACATAAACGACAACAACAATAACAACCACTTTATTACACATCAAGCAGACATTAAACAAATTAAAATGAACCAGGAATTTTTTCACGCAACCCGCAGTTAGCTTAAGCTAATCGAGGCGAAAGGTGAAGAGGACAAGAAAGAAAATATAAGGAACAACAGTAGAAAAGGCGAAGTTAGTAAAAGTAGTCATACCCGTGCAATCTTCCCCTTCAAAACCATCGCGGCAAACACAACGGTGGCCCTTATCCGTGAAGCCCACCTGACACAGGAAGTTCTCTCCTGGGCAAGGATTACTGTGGCAGAAATTCTGTTGGAGAGTATAATTTGATTCTATATACGAGATTAAAGCGTCCTCGTGCTATGTACCATAAACCCCTTATAAACCAAGACCTGACCTAGTCACCTTTGTATTAGCACTAGCCTGCGTAGCAACGGCCGTTTTTGTTAGGGCGAACTGGAGAAATTTTAAGGACACGCGTGCGCACAGGAGGAATGCAGTGTTCTTTCCTGCCTTTGTTAAGACGATTCCCTATTACTACTTAAATAAATGTACTGAGGAGACAAATGTTCCATGATTTGCTTAAAGGTTTGTTTCTTTTGAGGTACTGTTGTAATGAGATTGAACCAACTTCTTTTTGCAACAGCTTTCATCCCTTCAAAATGAATTCGCGTTGCACTACTAACAGCACTCTCTTGAAATTTGATTTCCTCTTGTTGACAAAAAGTAATTCAAACATAGTTAAACTTGGTCATTTTCATTTCACATTAAAAGGAGCAAAAATTATCATAGTCTTTATAAGTAATAATAATAATAACAACAACAACAACAATAAAAATAATGACTAGTTAGAGCTATCACTAAGTCCAACGAGCAAAGATTTTACCTATACGCGCGCGCTTTTGAATTTGTGAAGAAATGTCATGAAATACAGTAACTGATGAAAAATAGTTTGAACTTAATTCCATTGCATTAGCGAAAATTACCTTGAAAATAGTGCCAGCTTAAAGCAAGGGGAACACATGCACTAACCCACGGCAGGGCCAGTACCTCACGCATGCGCACAGCCATATCACGCGGGCAGTGGCAGCCACACACAGCCGTTTCGCCTTTACTGAGACCCATGCACACCAGAGTGGTAAAGCTATTGGGTTAATAAACGGGCAAACCCCGAGTCTCAAAAACCCTTTACAGCCGAGGTGGGTGCAAAGCTTTCTATCAAGTGCCAGCTCTACACAACACATGTCGGAGCTTTTGGCTGGGAACTGCACAGCAGTTCTACCACGACATGGGCGGGGAAGGTGGATCACGAGTTAAAATACTAAGAACCATCCCTGATAAGGCAAGTCCTTTAGGTGCCAGCTCCACACAACACATGTGGGAGCTGTTGGCTGGGAATCGCACGGCAGTTCTCCACGACATGCGCAGAAGGCGGATCATGGGTTTGGTGTATCTGTGCCCCTTGCTTTAATTTGTCTTTTGAAAATAGTGACCTAAGTTGTTCACTGCAAAACAATTTGAAATCCCGACTTTACAAAGAAAATTTTTCGAGATATTGATGGTCGTTTTTTGTCCCAAGTTGCTCACAAGTCAGTTTTGAGTAAAATTTAGTGGTCGTATACGCAAACTTAAAATCTTCTAAAAAATCATATTTAAGTCTGCGAATATTCAACGTACAGACTTATATTTGGTCTCTTTTTAAAGCAAGGAAATTATGGTGCGCCAATGAAGCCTTCCGAATTATTTTGCTTCAAAGACACAAAAACTGTCCAGGTGTTAATTTTTTTCTTAGCGGCAAGCAATAAAAAATTCCATATGCCGCAAATGCAAATAGAAATAAGGCGGGATAAACACGGGATTCACAATTGGGACGCACAAGCATGTACACGGCTCCTGGATTCTCTGTTGTGTATCACGTGTTTGCTCGAAAACAACGCATTCTCCCTTTCTGAATTACGTCATAAGAGTTGCCTTACATTAGTCTATGTTACATCGATTCGAGATTTTTTCTGCCCCTGGAACAATCGCGCACTGCTTCATTACGCTGCCGCAAGGCTGTTCATTGGCAATAATAATAATAATAATAATAATAATATTAATAATAATAGATGTCTATATGTCTTTATTTCGAAAATTCTTTACCCCTTGATATTAATAAACAAATTTATTGAAAAAGAAAAAGGTTCTGATACCTCAACTGCGTAGTGAATGTGCCCTTTTCGTTCCTCCAAATCAGATTGCGATGAACTTTCATCCGTAAAGTTTTTTAACTCGCACCTGCGTCGTCCGTGCTTGTCAGCAGGACCCACATTGATGGATACGCAGTTTGGTTCTATGAAGCACTTGACACGGCAACTTCCTTCATTGACTACTTTCTCAGTTTTTATCACGTGACCCGGAAGTATTTTCCCATCTACTGGTTCCTTAAACATCAAGATGCGATTGTATCCTGTCGCATACACTGTAGAAAATAAACACAGTGGGACGAAGGCTTTAATATTAAGTAAATTTTGTGCTGTCGCTCTCTGCGGGATGGTGGGGGTGGGGGGAGATTAGCAAAGCTGAAAACGTCGTACTTACCGGCTGAACAGGTAAACCATGGTTGGTTGTTTTTTAATCTATCTATTTATTTATTTCTACTGAGTTGTCCCCGGAGAAATTGAAGAAAATTATGCAAACTTCGTAATGTTAAAAAATTGGCTGTTCGCAATTTGCGCAACGTCCATAACGTCCATAATACACCTTGTTTGTCTACTGAGTTGTTCACTTTTCCCAGGAAAAATTTGGGGGAGAGGGTGCAAACAAAATGTATTATGAAGTGCAAATAGCGAATAAGTCTGAGGTTAGCGAACTTGAACTATCTTTGTCAATTAGGTGTTGGTGGTACTCCAACTTGTGGTTGAATTGTCAGACATTTTTCGCCTTCAGGCATTTCAGTCATATCTCGTCTTGCCTCCCACAGATAGAAATTATAAAGACCATATTTGAGCTTCAGGATTTCCTAAACTCGCCAGTAAAATGAAAGATTTTAAGTACAGTAAAACCTGTATTTAATCGAACTCGAAAACTTGCACCTTCCTCGGATAGAGCAATTATATTCGCTATCAACAATTAAGGGGAATCAGTTTTGGGCACTCAGCCATAGATGTAATAGATATTGTACTAGAAAACGCATCTCCGAGAACTTGAATAGCACATCTACAAAGATGCATTTCGCTTAAGAAGAAAAAAAGACTTTATGTGTTAGCCTACTGATTCGTTTTATTTCAAGATACCTTAAGCGACATTTTTAATTCTGAGTTCAGAATATTGGCGGAGGTGCCTAAGATGTTTTAGCTTTTCATTTCTACGACATGATATGCCTATACGTAAATTTCCAAGAATTCTATTATCCCTATCTCGATTTTTCTAGCTAAAATTAGTTCAGTCTTCAAATGAACCACAAAATATGTCACTTACCAGCATAAACCAATGTGCTAATTCCAAATGTAATCCACATGAAAAAAATGATCGTCCTGATAGCAGAGGCCATCTCTTTTTTTAAGTTTTACTTGTTCCTAGGTACGACTCGCATGTTGCTATAGACTTACCACGCAAACCGCAAACGACTCATTTAAATTTTTCA